ATACATGAGCATTTGTCTACATCAATAACCCACTTCTTGTGATGGCCAAGATTAAACTGATTGAATCTTTGCGCAGCATAAAATGTATGACCATTCGGTACAATTGTCTGAAAATCAAGACTATTACTTTTGGGCTCTATAGCCCTAAAGTTGATGTGACAACTAATAGTCGTTATTTTCCCACTTGAAGATATTTTCAAACCCCACCTTTTGTAGGGAAGTTCTAAATTAGTATTATCTTTCAAATGCAGTTGGAATTTAACTTTTTCATTTTTTTGGCCTGCAAATGGGACATAGTACCTTTAACATGTTTAATTCATTTTCTACATTTGGACATCATTTTTTACGCTCTTTCGGAAAATGAAGTTCAAATTGAGAAATTCTTAAAATAGTTTTTGATGACGTCACACTTCACCACTCTATGGCTTCTCCACAGAGCCCACATACACATGTTTCAAGGCCTAATCAGTAGGTCTGGTAAAAACAATATTGCGTATTGTGCGAGACAGATATGCCAGTCATATTGATTTTTGCGCTCATGTACTCTATGATAATCGTGCTGGTTCATCGCACTGTTGTGTCTTGTTAAAGTCAATATTCATGACAAATGGGGCTTGTGCAGTATGACACTGTTTTGATGGTGGAAGGTCGTAAACATTTACATCTGGGCGATTCTGTGTCCGTGTCTGGAACAACATATGACCTTTTTGCTATCTATTTCATCCAAAAATGGAAAATATTGTGACATGACCATTTAATAGTGTTACTGAAACCAGAAAAAGCACATTCTCCATTCCCTGGGGAGCATTTCAGCCAGGCGCCAGACACAAACAACGCCGAGCAAACTTTGTTGACTTTCGCATCCTACCAGGTGGAGAGTGGCAAAAGTGGATTGATGTCTTGCCAAAGGGCATTTGTGCTGGGCTGGGATTGGAACCTTCGACCCTGGGATTGAGAGTCGAGTGGATTAACCACTACACCACATCACCTGACAATCCTGTGTTCTAAAAGGTTTACATGGAGTTCCATATGTAATACAGGTGTGAACAATGTCACTACGTTGCTGTATACATGCAAATTTGGAAATTATTTACAAGTCAAAAGAACTAGTTCCTCAGTCTGATGATCAGTCTAATCAAACAGAAAAAAAATGTTACAATGTCAGAACACTCATGTATGTGTCAAATGAGTATTTAAAAAAAAACATATTCCAAACTGAAAAATGAAATGGATGAATTATAAATCAACGGAAAGCTTATAAGCCATAGATTACAATAATATCATTTATATGCCATTTTAGTGTCTGTCAGAGGAGTATCAGCTCTCTGGAAACTCAAAATCTAAAGCTTTGAAAATCAGAAGTTGTCAACCTAAAATCTTGCTATCGACTTGATGACATCATCTCATGTGGAGTACGCATATATTAACAATGACTTTGCATTAATTAATCACGGCTCATCACCTCAGCTATATAGGTGAAACAATGGGGTCCACATGTTATGTCTTTAGTAACTTCAGCAAATTTGACCCCTGTTGACCCGTAATTTGGAGGGGTGCAGAAAATGAGGTTTTAATTTGCTTTTGTGCAATAACGAAATGGTAAATACTTTTCATTCCTTTATATTTGTATTCTGCATTCAGTCAGTTTTCCATTTATATCAGTCAAGTTGTACTTTCATCGGATAGGGTCTGTAAAGTTCCAAAGTTAACCCAGAAGCGTATGAACCACAGGTACATGTAAATGTTAAATAGCACATTGAATAGTGAAGGCCATTGTAATAGAAATTGCATTCACTCATATTGAGTAAATAACAAGGATAGTGAGTTTCTTTACATGAAAGGGATTGGGTAACTTTGTCTCAGATTCTGAAACAAAATCCTGGATTTAGTTCATGCTGCAATGATAATTATAAACCTTTAGGTCAGTCAGGTATCCCATGACTTTTACTGATCGCCTGTCTGATTATCAAGATATTTATGATTGAAGATCAAAATCAAATTTTGCGTTTTCCTAACGGTTTTCATAACACTACAGTCTATTGGGGAAACTGAGTATGGTAAAACCGGTCACTCAAAGATTTTTACTTTTTGAGGCACTTCATGATCATTTAATTCGTTTTGGAGCGCAATTTTTGGAGGACTTCAATATAACATCATATCACAGACACTGATAACACGTACATGTAGGGCCATGCATCTCAGATTTAACATTGTTAAACGATGCCTTTAAAACCCTCCCATTTTTTGTCCCTTTGTTGTATATCGTCGTTCTTGTCAAACATCATGTCAATCAACTGATCAAGTACATGTAACTTTTGTGAAAAGTGACAAAAATTCTGATATATTTGGTTGAGCGTGTTCCAAGAATCGACCTGGAAAGGCGCATTGAAGAAGTACAGCTATTCGTGCCGTCAGCCAATACAACAATAACATAATAATGACAGCAATGCTGTTTGGATTGTAAGAGAGAAACAAATTCCCATCATATTTTTTTCTTTTTCCTCTATTTCTTCTTTATTTCATAAATGTAAGGCAAATGGCATGCAAACAAAGTTCATGCAGTTTCTGGGTCATCATGACATTGATAAAATGTTGGAAGAGATTCCGAATTGAATTGTCAAATTGAAATATGCGTGACAGGATATATTTTTTAATTTATCCAATGTCTGTTTTACACAGTACGTGACCTAGAGAGCAGAGTGGGCCACAAGAAGTTCAAAAATGTAAGAGAGAACGGTTTGAATGTTTATTGTACAGGTTTGAAAATCAACAACAGGTTAATAGTCATTCTTAACCAAAATTATTACTTAAGTCGATTTTAGTCTTTGTGAAACACCCCCTGATTTGACTTTTTAACACCGCAATGCTTGTAACAGACAATATGATTTGTGGACCATGACACAGATAAATATGTACACTGGAACATTTCAAGGTCTCGATACCTAACAGAGTGAAAAGTGAGAACTTGAACATGGCACAGAAGAATGAATTAAATGAATTAGATCAAAAAAAGGAATAGAATCTGAGAAAAACAGATAAGGATGAGATAAAACATGTCAATAATTCAACAGGAAAAAAAAAATTAAATAAAAAAAAACAATGACAAAAAAAATGAAAAAGATTAATATTCTGGGGCAATGGCACACATTCAATTTTTCTCTACTTCATTACTAAATAAATGAAAATATTGAATAAATGTTTTATTATCTTGTATTTTTGTCATCTTTAATGTTTTTAATGTAATGTGTATTATATGTAAAATGTGAGAAGAGCTAATTTCCATTGGACATTAAAATTTAAATTGAATTGAAACTGAATTGAAAAAAAGGAGGAAAGATGATGGTGAATAAGGAGAAGTAAAGGAGGGAGAAGAAGAAGAATAATGAGAAGAGGACAGAGAGGAAGAAATAGATGAATAAGAAGTAGGAAGAGGAGAGGAATTAGATGAAAAAAGGAGGAGAAAAGGCTGGAGGAGAAAGAGGCCTTGAAGGTGAGGAAAGGACACATAAAGTCGAATAAGGAACTTCAGAGCCTCTATAGCGGCTATACCGGTACACAGAGTTTGGCCAAGCCGGTTCGAGTTGGACACAATACGGTGACTAAAGATTTTACTCCATGTTGTGACCTAGTGAAACCAAGTTGGCCAAACTCTGTGTATAGATGGTTCTGATGAGTGCACGCCATGTTGTGACCTAGTCAAACCAAGTTGGCCAAACTCTGTGTACAGATGGCTCTGAGGAGCTTGTACAAGACAGTGGTTTCACTGTGACAGGCAGGAACCTATACAGCAGCTCAACAAGAGAGGGAGCTATAGCACTTACTGTATTGCTACTCACCACCTTCATTTATGATCCATAACATTCAGAAAGAATATCTTGAATTGAGATCAGAAGATATCAAGAGAGATAAGAATAAAATAAAAAGAAACACCCTCAGCTTCCTCCCACCCCCCCCCCCCCCCGCCACTCTAAACGCACTCTTTGAAACCACTGTCTCTCCCCCTTCCATGCTTATACAGAGATTTTCATTGGTATGTCTGTTTTTTGCAATTACTAAAATACTTATCACTTCAAAGTTCGACTCTTAAACAGCTGTTTGTAAACTTAGTGGATAAATGGGAGCTTATGTGAAAATACTGATAGTTTGAGGGGTGATGGCTTTTTTTATCTATTAAATAATCTAAAATGAGGTTAGAAGATATCAAGAGAGACATACAAGTAAAATAAAAAATGGTATTCCTCTGTTTGTAATCAATGCAAGCTTTGTATTATAACGTTCCATAGCTTTGTTTGTAAGTATTATCTTTTTATGCACTTTACATCTTATGAAAATGTGCTTCATAAATGAAATTTTGTTATCATTATCCACTGACATGGTCCAAAAACTGTGCTTTGCACCAAGATTTGACATTTTGACATCACATCACTAAGGCAATATATTCAATCAGCTAAAAATCACGACTAGACTGCTATGTAGTCTTCCATTAAAACCAGAGAGTAACCAAAAGGATAGGAAAAAAAAGCTAAGAAACAATTGAGGCGATGTGATTTTAACAACTGTGCTGTGCCCTAAGAATAAATAGTTCAGTTTTAAATGAGAGCACTAAGGCAATCAATCAAATAAAATCACTGCTAGTCTACAACAATTTTCCATCCAATCTAAGAGTTACCAATGGTGAATGGTGTAGTATAAAACAGAAGCTAAGAAACAATCACATTGCCCTGAGTGATCTCAAAACAATGAACCACCCATATTACCATGCAAACCGACGAAAACAGAACCTTTCGTGACATGAAATTTTGGCTATTTGTAAATGAGAGCAATTTTCATGGCAAGAAACGTTCAAGCATTGCAAAAATTGTGCTCAGTCAATATTGATTTATCATTTCGCGGCATGAAGGCCAGTTTAAACCACTTGCGAAAGTCGAAAATATTTCAGGCATATGGATGATGGAAGTTTGTTGGTGTATATTATTACTTTATTAGTAAGCCGTACTCACTTGTGATGTGGAGTTCGCTGGTAAGAAAGTTGCGGTAGACGTGAGGCACCTGGAACTCCCCCTGGGCCGAGCAGCCAATGGATGCAAGGAGGAAGCAATCGTCTGCATCAGTATCTTCCGATTGAGCCCTGTGACAGAATAAATCAGATATACATGTAAATGAGAAATAGTAAGAGTGATTTTTGTAGGATGATAATTATTGGAATAAAGACAATGATGATGATGATTATATCAGTATTGCTGATGCTGAGTATCTGATGTAGGTGGAGGATACTATGATGATAAAGAAGAAGGAGGAGAAGGAGATGATGAAGAAGAAGAAGAAGAAGAAGAAGAAGAAGAAGAAGAAGAAGAAGAAGAAGAAGAAGAAGAAGGAGAAGAAGAAGGAGAAGGAGAAGAAGAAGAAGAAGAAGAAGAAGAAGGAGAAGAAGAAGGAGAAGGAGAAGAAGGAGAAGGAGAAGAAGGAGAAGGAGAAGAAGGAGAAGGAGGAGGAGAAGGAGAAGGAGCAGAAGAAGGAGAAGGAGAAGAAGGAGGAGAAGAAGGAGGAGAAGGAGAAGGAGAAGGAGAAGGAGAAGAAGTGAGAAGAAGTGGTGGTGAACTGGTGATGATGATGTTGACAATAACAATGGCTATTGCGCATGCACATAATCGTAATGATCATTTTTTTAAATGATCACTTTGTTATGAATGTGATGCATACATGCCAACATTTGAAAATCAGAAATCTGTACAAATTATGCTATTTTCAAAAAAAAGAGGAACAATCCTAACTCTCCTATTCAATACTACAGACAAATTTGTACAGGAAGAGGAACACCTGCATTAAAATGATAATTATCTTCTCCCAAAAAGAGGAATGTTCCTCTTTAATCTGAACAGTTGGCATGTATGGTGATGGTGGTTATTTTACCTGACTGCTAAGACAGCATAAATGCTTGTAAATAAACAACGAGACGGCTGATGACTTTAGGTCCTCTCCGAGGGACCTGGTAATAAGGATTAATGCCTTACCAAAGGGCACTAGCGCATCGACTTGGTTTCGAACCCGGGTCACCAGATTATGAGACCACTGCTCTACCGACTGAGCTATGGCGTTGTGATGGTGAAGATGATGAAGACAAATCCTTGCGGCTTGACAGTGGAGCTAACTTGACTTCTAAATTTTTAGAACTCCGTAGTGTAATTCACCAAAGTTAACAAAGCCTGCATCGGTCTTGACAGGTCACACTATGTCTCGCTGGGGAGGAAATGTATAAAGCTGACAACAATAAAACAGCAGGCAGGGTTAAAAGGTGATCTCCTTCCTGCACGGGGCGATGTGCCAGCTAATAATGGAAGTTGCAAACTGATTCAGCCGAGGACGCAGGATCGAAACTGAGTCACGTCTTTCAGATGGTGACGTTAAAAGTCGGTCCCCAGACGTAAATAGTCATAGCTGATTGATACACGTCTGTAAAAACCCAATTACACACACACACGCACTTGCTATTAAGCACATTTCAATAAAATGGATTCATTGTATCCTTTCATGGAATATGTTTTGAAAAATAAAAATGAAAAATAAAACATTGAATTTTCTTTTTAAAGAATCCTACAACTTTGTATGAAAGAAATCCCACCCTCCCCCCTCTTCTCCATACTTCCTTCCCTGGCCTAAAAAGAATCACATTGTTAGTAGTAGCCAATGTATAACAAAATAAAAGGAAGAAAAGATACATTAACACATACCTCTTGTTCGAGACAAAGGTCACGGCATCAACCAAATAGGAACACAGAACAGATACAGAAGATGGTAAATCTGCAGCCTGTATGAAGAGATATTAAAATATCATATTCAATTCAATTCAATTTTATTTTATTCAAGTCCATTTAATCAATCATACGAATGAAATGGTACAAACATAGGGTTACGAGGGCAGAGATAAAAGGCTGCAGCAACCTTTGTGACTCCAATAGTAGCTCTTGCCTATGTTTTAAACCAGAACCTCTCATGACGGTATATATCTGTATACTTTCATCAACAATCAAGGAACATTTCTTCTTGTTTTGTTTTGTTTTGTTATTTTGTTTCTTAGATTACAGTTGAACTACAGCTACATGTATAACTATCATCAGTACCATGTAAGCTATCACAAGGAGACTCTTAAAGCCTGTCTGCACTAGTTTGATTCAGGGGGGTTTAGACCTCCCTGCAAGGTCACTGATAGGTGGTTATTTCTCTCAACTAACATAATGTAAGAAAAAGGGGACCATGGGGGACCAACAGGCACCGATTAGGCATTGTTTGCTATATAGAGGGCGCAAGTAGCTATAAGTAGTGCAGTGGGGCTTTAAGATATGACTTGCAAGGTACTTGCCTGAGGGTGTGACGCATAGTAGTCTATGTCATCTACAATGATTGCATGGGGGAGAGGTGCCTTGGTATGGAGGTGACTGAGATAGCGGATAAGGGCAGGTCTGTCTTGGAAGTACCTGTTATAAGCATAAAGACAATAGAAATTTCAAAGAATTACTAGACAGAAAGAAATACAATGAAAAGAAATGTTAGGTGAATATTATTTTGATTAATAATGATTTGGTGTCACTTGTGCCTGAAAGTTGGGAGAGCGAACTTAAAGCCCATCTGTACTACTTTGGCTAGGAGGGATTAGACCACCCAGGGTGCTCACTGACAGGTGACTATCTCATCAACTCAGCTCTCAATTAACATAAGAAAAAGAGGATCATGAGGGACCAATGGTCAACGATTAGGCTTGTTTTATATATAGAGGGAGCAAGTAGCTACAAGTAGTACAGTGGTGCTTTAATCACTGTTACCCTTGGGTATTTCCTTGCGATGGAACAGCTAGCGTACTGCTGTACCGGGGCTTCCCGCTACTCTTTTACTCTTTATCAAAGAGTGCAGTGGGTTCTTGGCGTGCAAAGGTGGTGACTCATCTCCACATGGGACCTCCATTTTTACATCCTATCCGAGGGACAGAGTACTCTCCACTGTAACATATTCCGTGTCTATGAAATCAGAGAGGCATATATGTTAACAACCAATCCAGGCTGCAGCCATCCATCTGGATAGGATTGACATCCACCATCTTTATTTTGAACTTTTGATGTTTACCAACTGAGCCAAATCACTTCCTCAAATAAAGATGCAGCGACTCATAAGGTACATTTAGAACCTGAACAAGGGAGTAGCTAGATAATTTTGAATAGAGGTTTGTTAGACCAGGTATAGACAATGGAACATTTGCTAGTCTTCCCACTCCTGCCAGAGCCATGCACCCAAGATGACCTGGAAGCCATGAACTGCCATGTCAGAGCCTGTGTGGAGCACTGGACGGCACTTGTGCAGCGACTCGATAAGAAGAAGAAGACCAAAAGTGCTCTACAAGTCTGGACAATATTTTAACGGGAATCTGTATGTTTGCTTTCCAATAAATGTTAACAAATCTCAAACCAAGATTACTGTTTTGGACTCAATAAAGAATTGGTGATTCTCACTCTTTGAAGAAAAAAAATTCCTCAAATGTCTCATCTTACCCAAAGTCATTCCTTTACGTAAATTTTAATTACAAGACCACGGGGCGTTTCACAAAACTTGTCATCAGTGACAAATGACAATTTGTGTTATAAGCTACTGAAATCCTTACTTCTGATTGGTTATCAGCAGATTTTTCACTGATTTTTGTTATTTGTCATTGAAAAAGGCTTTGTGAAATGCCCCCCCCCCCCTTGCTTACATGATGTTGATTCGTTTCATCAGAAGTGGATCTTGAGTTGTAGCGCCCTCTACAGCTGGTGGCAGAGACTGAAACTTTGTGGGAGTTACGAGGGTCACATGATGTCCTTCCTGGGCCAGAGAGATGGCACACTGAAACAAGAGGGCGGTCTTCCCACTGCAAAATAAAAACAACATTACAAAGGAGTCCACCCTGAATAAAGTTGGCAATAGAAGAAAAAGGATCAGAGCAACAGATCAATGAAAATTTGAGTATAATCCTGTTTTGTAAAGAATAAGAGAGTTATTAGGTTTTAAAATTGTAATTGATCAAACACATTAAATTAGCATCTCTAAGTCTCTAACATGCCTTGCAGCCTATGACATATTGTGAGGTCCTCTCCCATTTGTCTGTGATATATGAATCACAATATTTTTAATTTTCTTCTAAACTTCACAAAAGTTATATTTTAAAGAAAATTATTGCTTTGCTGCAGAGAACAATAAGTCTCAGATATCAACTGTTGTTCCGCTGAGATTGCATCTGGCTTCTCTGACCGCCTCTATATGTATGAGGAATGTCAACAAATGTCAGTTTTATTAAAGAATGACCCATACCAGACTAAGGCTGTGCATAACCGTGTAATGAGGTACTCGAGTACACTCCCGGGCTCACAGGCGAATACTTGAATACTCGGACGCCATATTTTTTTTTGCCACCACCATACTACGGGTCTATGGCAAGACATTACCAAGACATTAAAAGAAAGAGATGCGATGAAATTAGCAACAATAGTCAAATTTTACTAATAGCCATTATAATACCAAACGAAGAAGAAGAAGAAGCAGAAGCAGTATCCCAGGTCCGTCTCCGAAAACTCACACAATTTTACTTTGATGTGCAGTTGAAGGTGCTGATTTAATAATAATAATAATAATAGTAAACAATGCTGTTTTAAAAACCAAAGATGACAGACTAATCCATTTTCCTCCGAGTCCAAACAGAAATCCGGACATTAGTTTCTGAGTAGTGAGTTGACAGTGATTGAGCTGGGAAACATTTTTACCCACAGTACCATGCTGGCGCTCTCTCGGGCGCTTGTCAAGGGTAAGCGTCGGCATGGACAGTGCCAGGTGTATGGGCGAAGAAAAAAAAAATGGCGGCCGAGTATTCGAGTACAAAAAATCATACTCGTCGCAGCCTTATACCAGAAGGTCATTTCTGTCTAGAGAGTCAATGCTAATGCATATTGACCTTTAGCACTGCACTAGACCTACGTGTATAATAATAGGCAGCATTTGAATACATGAATAGTCAATACACTCACAACACACAAATGCACACAATCGATGCGGCTGATCGGCAAGTTTGAAAGTAGATCACGATTTAAATTTTCAAATTAGATCTAGACCTAGACCTATTCTTTTTAAAATCGGTAGAGTAAAGGAGCCCGTTTTCGGCCACTTAAGACAAAATCCTATTTTTAGGACTCTTTACTTCCTATTTATTATCATTTCTTGTTCAAATCATGAAGCAAATATTAATATTATTTAAACAAAAAAAGAATCCCAGAAAAAAATCACGAATTGCCATGACAATATTCATTTCAATTTTCACTGTTTTGGAGCCAGTTATCGGCCGAGCGTTTCAGTTTACGGCCGCATGTACAAAGTCAATAGGAGGCGCTCACGCGCGCCGTGCGTTTCCGCGCTGATGTACAGCACAAGCGGGCGGAGCAGGTATCCCACGCCGGAGCTCCCTGGTGCTCGCCTGGCCGAAGACAGGCACAGCGGTGATCGGAAGTTGGAATCTGAATTAGACAGAGATATCGTGTGTGCGTCGCGGTGTGCGGCTGCATTGATTTAATACATGCGATGAGATACTTTTGAGCTTGCGACTAGCACAAAATCGGGCTCTAAATCTGAAAAATACTTGAAATAAAGCTCATTTTATGGTACCCATATTTCTTACAGACACGCGTAAGATACTCAATTTTTCAGATTTGGGTAGCGGGACCGGCGATTACATCGCTAAAATGTGATATTTTAGGATATATTTTCCATTGCAAATGTGGTTCTTCAGTGACACTGGCATGGTATGGTATGTGTGGGATATGTGTTATGCTATTATGCGATGTATTTTAGAGTGATTTTACCTTGCATCCAACCAATCGGCCGAAAACTGGAGCTGGCCGATTACCGGCTCCTTTACTCTACTCTAGATCTAAGTTAGATCTAGATCTAGATCTAAGTTGAAAAGATTGTATTTTACTGCAATTTAACGTTAGGTGTTACTGTCATCAATTGTCACTAAAGTACCGATTTTGAGTGAAATCAGTTGAATTTTGAACAGTGGTGTTTGATATGCTGAGAATCAATAGAACAGTTTTTAATACACAGCCAGGATGCAGCTAAGGCTAAGCTATGTGTGGTGCTTGGCAGGCTTTGGCCGGCCGCCCGCGGCCGGGCGCAAACCGTATCGCGCACCGCCACCTGACGACGGGCACGACTCGTCCAAATTAGACCGTCGTCTGCGACATGAAGAAAGATTAGGATTTGGAGGAAAAGTTACCATAAAAACGTACCTGCCATGTTCGCCAGTTACCAAGCATTTCTGATGTTTTTGTAGGAATCTTTGACGTGTTATGCTTTGATTTTTGCGCTTTCTTCTGTCCCCGGACGGTTCATAACAAAGCTTGCATGAAGGAAAAATGAACTGCATGGGAGCTGCCATTTTGGATTTTGACAACCGCCCTCTGTAGCTCAATTAGCTGACGCCGACTGATGATTTTTGTCATCAGGGGCCCGTTCCTTGAAACCGTCATATTAAGTACTTCTTGACTATCCTATATTTAAGTTTCCCTAATTAACATTTCTCATTGCAACCAACTTGAAACTCTTGACGTGTCATTTTATAGTTCTTCGCATGGCATTACCTGATCGAATGTCAAAACTTTGAAAATTTCACCTCTCCTCCTCCTCTCCTCCTCCTCTCCTCTCTTCAGGGCCGTAGCCAGAGTTTTTTTTTTTTTTTATTTATTTATTTTTTTTTTTTATTATTATTATTTTTTTTTATTTTTTTTATTTTATTTTTTTATTTATTTATTTATTTTATTTTTTTTTTTTGGGGGGGGGGGGGCACATACATGTAATGGATCGACGTCCTGGGGAGGGGTCTAACAAAGTTCAACCGATCTTGGAAATTTTGGGGGGCACGTGCCCCCCCCCCCCCCTCTCCCCCGTTGCTACAGGCCTGCTTCTCTCCCTCCCCTCTCTCCTCTCTTCTACCCCTTTACTAGTTCTCTCTATTCCTTTCTCCACTTTGTCTGGATTAGCCCTTATTCGACGTTACAGAGCGCTTTTCATAAAAGCATCCAGAGATCAATCACACCCCCCCCCCCCCCCGCCCCCGCTGAAAAATTACGGTTACCACCAAGGGAATCATGGTTTCCAACATATCATCCTCTCTGGACTGTTGAGAAGTACGTCTCTTCTTAGGGGCCGATGTAATTTCAATTTCAATTTATTGTCCAAAATTGGAAATTTTTGTTTTGCTCAAATTTTACAAAGTCCGTACACAGATTCAAAATAGGTTTACATACACTTTTATCATATACTTTAAATTCTTCAGAATATTGCTATACAGAAATGTTCTTAAATTATTAAAAAACAAAATAAGTGAATTATTTTGACTGTTCGAGTGAACAGGATGGCCCGGAAAGTTACAGATAAAGAAGAACGTAACATTCGGGTAGCATTTTGATTGTAATTGGGTCATCATTGGTTGGTCCGGACGCACAGTTCATTTTCACTATTTATGAATAATTAAAATTCACATTTGCATTATTCATCAATAATATAAAGTAGGCCTACATGCCTATTACATAATAATGAAAAGTACAATCCATTCTATTTATATATTTATTTTTTGGCAGCAGAGGTGCCGCCCATAATATGAATATTTATGAGCGTGAATGTTATTATTATTCTTTATTCCAGGCACCTTTCCATGTTTGCTCTCATGTGCAATCTTTTCAGAAATCCTTGATAACTATAACCATCCCCATGATTTAAATAATACATTATTGTCATACCTGTGATGGAAACATTTTATGTACGATTGCCAGAAGACGAGTAAATATTCATAATTGAATGATACACGCATAAAACTAAAACAACAACAACATTGAATCATAATTAAACAATAATCTGCTGTGAGTATGAATCTGCAGATTTGTCGTACATTATGAAGTGGTTTAAAATTGTTATATCTGATAAATTTAGGAGTAATCTGCACTCGAACTTTTGGTTCATTTTTATTGTCGTGAGCTAATATTTCAGCTCATTGCCATCGCCACCCAGTTACTGCTGACAGCTTGGCCCAAACTTTCGGGTGGGACTATCTCTAGAGATTTGATACGAGTAGATCACTTCACTATATTCAATGGTCCAAGCTTTCTGTTACTTTTAGGTCCAACTGTTTATTAACTACTTTCATATTTCGGTCAGAAGAAAATTAATAGCTAACAACAACGTTTAGACCAGATTAGACTTAGAGGCCTTTAGTACATATTCTGTTTACTTTATCTTCTTTCATACATCTCAATAAGGAAGATGACGTAAACAAAAACAATCTAACTTGGGTCTAACGTACATATAGTAAGATGAAAAAGTTAGGCTCTAACGGTAAGGGCCTTGTAAAATTTACATTCCAGGCTGTGTTGACATCTATAGGTTAGGCCAACTTTCAATTGGTTATCTAAGTTAGATGTAGACCTCTAGACTTGATTATTTCATGAATGGGTCTAACTTGGCTATTTACAGGCTTTCTTGGGTCATGAAATTGCGAGTTCAACTTGGGGCAAGCAGATCCATGAGACAGTAAAAAGAAGGGAGGTTACATACCTATGATTGCTTTGTTCTCTCACATTACACCCCCATCAACAAAAGAGGCAGCAACAACAACAACAACAACAGCAATAGTAGTCATGTAGTAATAATAAACAAATAATAATAACAACCACAACTTTAATAGTAAGAAGGATGATGATGATAATAATAATAATAAAAACAATTCTCCTACCACTACTGGTACTACTGGTACTACTACTACTACTACTAATACTACTACTGCTACTACTACTACTACTACTACTACTACTACTAAAGTTACTAAATATAATTCATGGAGTATATTATCACCTCTGAAAAATGTAAATGAACGATTCAATCAGGGAAAACAAATCATAATTCAAGAGGAGATTTATATCTAAATAAGCACCTACAATGTATAATATTAAATCGGGTTTTACTAATAGGAAAAACGATGTATTTACATGTGTATAAAAAAGAACAAAAAACCCAGCATTGTTTTAAAATAGAAGTCAACTGAAGCTCAAAGAGAGGCAGGCAGAGAAAGCATTGGTTGTACAGCATCAAGGAATGGACTAGCCTCACATACATAGGCGGCGATTCCGGGGGGACGGGGACACGTCCCCCTCAATTTGTTTAGGGGGACCATCCCCTTGAAAATTTGAAAAAGTGCCACCCAAAATGTATAGAAAATACTGACTAAAGACTGCAACACACTTTTAGGCTCTGGAGGGCCAATGGTGCAGCGTTTAGACTAATCAAGCGCAAAAATCTTCTATAGCTCGGGAGCTACGCTCCCTCGCATGATATCTATCAAAATATACAAGTAGATATTGTATAAAATCTACATCTCCATCGGTATCATGTAAGCACAGTTAGACTGTATAATTACAATATTAAGAGGTATAGAAATAGATCAGTGCTACAACAATGAATATTCCACTTGCTCTTTTATTTGCCAATTTAACTCTTATAGCGATAAATATACATGTACATGACAGAGGCCTTGATTTGGAAATAGAAATCCCATCCATGCTCAAGCTCCATAGTTACTAAAATTTACCTACTAAATATTTACAACCATTCGGACTGCACACTAATTGCCGGCGAAGTAAAAGTGAAGTGTGAAAACATTATATTGGTTGTTTTTATACTATAGTTTTAATAAGGAATGTTAATTTTTAATACAAAACTTCAGTCACCTTCGCCCCTCTCGTTCACAATGCTCCCTCACCCCTCGTATTTCCCCCCCCCCCCCCCCTCGGTCATGAAAAGAAATCGCCGCTCCTGCTCACATACAAACGTATATGCCCACTAGATGCCAAGACAGACAGAAATGGTGGGACTTAGTGATCGGAAGGACGAATGACGAATTTCTTTGAGCTTAATGGTAAGTAGAATAGTAGTTCATATTAGCATGAATCTTGCTTTTTGAATACGTCTGCAAGATTGATTATATTATGGCCAAAACCAATATGATCTATATCATCTATAACGTCTAAATGTACTGGGATGATAAACGAATATTAAGTATTCGTTTGCATAGGCCTATTATGACGATGTTGCATAACGCGGCATCAAAATAAAGCAGGCTTCATGGCTAAAATGATATGAATAAGAGTATTAATAAACATCATTGATTTCCATATGAAGCTATGATAAACTATGAAGAAAAATTACTTTCAAATATCATTAAAAAGCGACCAGAATTTCAGAATTCGTTCACGATTGTTGATTTCCAAAATGGCCGCGACCCCTGGCAGTCTCCTGTACTGGTAAATGTACATGTACATGTGTAAAATTATGTACAGCGATGAATATGATACGCCTTATTTATGTTATCTAAAAGCATGACTATAGCATGTTTTTTCTGCTTTACTTCCACATTATACCAAAAATGAAATAAAATATATATTTAACATTAGATAGCAATCACAACTCATTTTCAAGAAGAGTCTTTTGGAAGTGTCATTTAGAAAGGAAAAAATGGATACCAATTAGTAATGTACATGTAGCCTATACATTACAAACCTAAACCAAAATAACCAAAATGACTACATACAAACAAGACATCAATGAACATGGTAAAACAATGAATAATGAAAATCAAGACTTGATCAGTCAGCCAGCCAAAACAACTGAGAAGTGCATAAAATACACAATGTCGATTTTCAGTTGCCGCTCATCATTCTGCACGCTCTGTTGGCTTTTACAAAAGCCAAAGATAGATACCATTCATTGTATAGCTGGCGAGTTATAACTAACTGTGCCAAGGTGATGTAAAGAGCACATTATATTTATTATTATTATTATTTTTAAAAAAATTATATATAGGTCTATTTTGTATTGATATCATTTCATGTTCGCCTTCTCTCTCTCGGAGAGGAAGGGAATAATTAAAAGGAATAGTATATCTGTAAAGCGCTTAGAGATATCGTAGAAAGATGTATCAAGTGCTAAATAAAAGCGGATTATTAATAATACCATAGTTAAGCACTGCAAAGTTAACCGTTATTAATGAATACTCGCACCCTGTCCATGGACGACACCTAAATTATTGCCCACACCATCGATTGAACAGAAGCTGTGAACTCACTAAATCAATATTTGAGCCGGAGAAAAAGAAACAGCGCCATCCATTGGTGAAATACTCGAAAAGCAGTATAGCCAGGCGGAAATAATCTTTTCAGATTGGACAGCCTTAAAACCAAACAAAAACAACAACAACAACAACGTTTATATAAAGCACTTCGAATGCACTTCAAACCCTGCCAGAATGTTTCAGCATGTTTCATGTACTTTTTACAAAAATTGAACATTATTGATACAAGTCATGTCAATATTTTGTATTGATTTCATGAATTATATAAATCATAATGGGAAACGATATTTAAACCAAACAAATCTT